GGAAGAGGTGGGAAGAATAAAAGAAAAAGCAGCAGCATACGGAGGGAGACATAAACCACCTTGCAGCAATTTCAAACAAATATCGCAGTGAACAGAAATCTCATCTGGAGAGCAATAAAATACACATTTACAGCACAGGGGCTTTAGGGGGGATACGGGATAGGTTTCCTAATTTATATAATTCCCCATGTTTATTGTTGAAACCTGTGTTTTTGCTGGTCAGGTGTTTTCGATGGAGTCACAGATGGAATTTGGGTTTTTTCCTCCCTTAAAACCTTAAAGCTAAATCCCCTCTTTCTTTGCTGGTAGCTTCCTTCTTTCTCTCCTTTCTAGCTTTGTACAACTGAATTAAAACCCGGCCCAGATGCCCTATCTCAGAGATAAGAGCCCGAGCCTGGGAGAAAAAAAATCCGTATTTTTAGAGGTGTGGGGTTCTTTGTGAGTATTTTAAGTCCAAGGATACATTTTCATCTGCTTTATTTTTAAATATTTGGAAAGCTCCAACTAAAATAACAGGAGTGTTTTAAATCCCTGCCTTGCAGTAATGGAAAATATTTCGAAAAGCCCTTGTCTTCAGTGTGTATCCGAGAGTTTCCAAGTATTTGTCAGGTGTGGGTGCTGGTGTCTGGACGCACGTAGGGCTGCACATGGATTTGGTGTCACACCTGAGTGCGTGTACGGTGGGGATTTTTTTGTTCGTACCTGGACATAGAACCATTGATACGCATGGGGAAGTTGAAATACCCGGTTTTTAAATAAATGTATTTCTAGAAATACATATATTTGTACTTGTTTTGGCAAATCTCCCCTCCTGCTCCAGCGGTTTATGGATAGAGGAAAGTAACTTTGCTTCCAAAAGTTCTTACACCAGATTTGCACAAAAAAGGAAGAGTAGATGTCTTGGGGAAACAAATAATTAATAAAATTAAGAATAGAGGAGCAGGCACACGAGGAAGTGAATAAAGCCGCCAGCTTCCTAATTACAATTCTGCCTTGATAAATCTCCTGTTTCTCCCTAGCTGGGACCCGGGGCGGGACCCAATGGTACTCAAACATCTCGCACTCCTCGGGGGAAGGGGACACCCATAGGAAGGTCCATCTGAGAGTGATGTTTTGTTAAATGACCTCCCCCATCTCGCAAACTCACACACGAAACCACCTTGGAAAACTTTCCTTTCATCGCTTTTATACTTGTATACTTTTTTTTTATAGGCGTATGTTCCCCAGTTACAAAGTGAAGGTCACTGGACTTAATCCAAAAACCAAGTACATACTGTTGATGGATATTGTACCGGCGGATGACCACAGATACAAATTCGCGGATAATAAATGGTAACCACACGTGGGGGAAAGGGGAGGGAGAAGACCTGGGCATTGGGATTTGGGTTGGCCAAACTTGGGCAGCGCGGGTTGGGGGCTACCCTTGAACGCGCCGCTTATCCTTCTTTTTCCCCAGATGTTGGGCTGCGGAGGCTCCACTTCAGCCTCTCGGGATGCTCCCACAGTCCTTGGGAGAGAAATACGTCCAAAAAGAAAGGAGGAAAACCTGTCGCAACTAGCTAATGATAGGTGTAATCCTGTTTGACCATGAGTTCATTGACTTTTGTGGAGCCGATAGTTTAATAATAAGAAGGAAGGGAGTATCTCTGGGCAGGGAAATTAGGGAGGGGCGCAAGGATGGAGTTAAGCGGGGAAACAGCGAAAGCCGCCTCCGACGGGAAAGGTGTTAAGGTGCTCTGGTCGTTCCCGGAGCAGGGGTTGGAAATGGTTTTCCACCTGCGTGGGAGGGACCCCACGGAGGGAGGATGGATGGGGGTGCAGGAGCCCTCGGGGGAGTCCTCCCCGCCCCAGCTCAGTGTCTGTGACCCCACGCAGGTCGGTGACAGGGAAGGCAGAGCCGGCCATGCCGGGGCGGCTGTACGTGCATCCCGATTCCCCGGCCACTGGTGCCCACTGGATGAGGCAACTGGTTTCCTTCCAGAAGCTCAAACTCACTAATAACCATCTCGACCCCTTCGGACATGTAAGTACCCGCGGAGGGCTGCCGGGGGTCCCACGCGTGCTCACGATCCTCTCCCAAGCATGGTCTCCCCCCCACACTGCCAGCGTCATCGAGGTCATGGCAATGTCACCCACTCCAAAATCCGTTGTATTGGCGGAGTGTTATTTTCTTCCCCGAGCGGGCGAGATGAACCCAAATGAAAGGTATACCACCTCCCCCAAAAGGAAGCATAAAGTTAAAAAATAGGTTATTTCGCAGAGCTGCAGGGGAATTGATTACAGACACCCAGGGACTGGAGTTCGCGAGTGGGCGAAATTGAGTATTAATTAAGTATTTAGCTACCTGGTTTTAACCTCATGGAGTGTCTTGAAGCATTAAAAACTGCTCCCTGCCCCTGTGAATTTTGCTAGCAGCTCAAATCAATCAGGCAGAAATATTCGAGGAAATCGGGTCTGAAACCAGGTGGATCTCTCGATTAAAAAAAAAATTGCAACGATAATTAAAGACATTTTCAAAAAATCGAAATCCCTCTGGAGGTTCTTGGACATAGAAAGGTTTTTGCTGGACTCGTGGGCCCGTGAAAACTTGTGTGAATGCTGCAGCCAGAAACAGCCCTCCTTCGTACGTCTGCAAAGACGCGTGTTCCTCTGAGCAAATATATGTGTGCATGTACGAATAATATATATGTGTGTGTGTGTGTGTGTATATATATATATATAATTACTTAAGCGAGTAAGCGAATCCAGATCCCACCATCCCTTTCCAAGAGCGTATTTTTCTCCAGTTTCATTTCAACACTTTGGTTTCTTATTTTCGTTGTGTGTGTGTGTGTGTTGGTTTTTTTTTTTTCCTTCGCTTTTTAATGATAAATCTTCTACTATTAAATCCCTGCCCACGTGAACGCTAAGAAGCAGGGGGTGCTGCAGGGCACAGCAGTCAGACAAGCCCCCAGCCCACCCCAACGTTGAGCATCTTTTTATGAGCACTCCTTTCCCTTCCCAGTTCGGGGGTTGATTTTTTTTTATTTTTCCCTTTTGTAATTTTAATTTTATTTTAATTTTGCCTTGAGCTGGGGGCAAAGCGCTTTGCAAGGCTCAGGACTTACTCCCCGGGAAGATGGAGGGGAGAGCGGGGACTCCGCAGTAGCTCAGCCGAGGAGGGGACGGGACAGGACCTCTCCCACCCCTCGAGGCTGGTTCTGGGGAGCAGTCCCGGGGGAAAGGGGGCCAGGCATCCCCCGCTGCGAAGAGGAAATGTCCCCCTAAGCAAACCGAAGGCGCTGAGGGGACAATAAGGGACTTCAGAGGAGGAGCTGCGCCAGAAGCCTCTCAATTAGAGTCGCTGTAATGAAATTAAACCCCATTAGATCGTTCACCGTTGATGTCTACGACTTTCCTGGATGTCAAAGCAATTTCCTTAAACCCCCGGGACGGGGGAGGCGGCGGCGGGGCGCGCTGTCGCCAGGGTCCGGCACTCATTATC